CCGAGACTGGGGCTCAGGCTGCTGTGTGGGGGATCCGGGCGTGGGAAGAAAGCCCCCGAGTTTAGGCAGGGCTCGGCGCCCCCAGATTGCCAGCTTGGCCCGGCCGACGTGGCGCTGGCTCTCTCCAGCCGCGAGCCGCCCCCTCTCCGCCGCCGGCGCGCCAGGCCAGCGCGGCTCCGGTGGCTGCGCCAAGCGCTCCACCCTCGGGCTTCCTCCTCCAGCAGGCCGGGCCACCCAGCCGCCGGGTGAGCCAGGCGAGGGCTCCGTCGCTCCCTCACGCTCCAGCGGCCGGCCCCGCGTGGGCGGCTGAACGCTCGTCGGCTCGCCAAGAGCCCGCGCCGGGCGGGAGGGAGAGCGGGCGGGAGGACGGACGGCCAGCCAGCAGCCGCCGCACACAGTCCAAACCAGGAGAGAATTTCTGGTTGGTTTGGCGGCGCGCCCGGGCGCAGTCTCTGCGGAGGCAGGGAGCGAGAGAACTCGCTCTGTTCTCACGACCTTCAGCCAAATGCACGCGGCAGGGCGGAGAGATGGGGCGGCCGCCAAACCCAGCGCATCCGCCGGCTCCAGGGCAGCCGGCCCCGCCGCGCAGCTTTGGCTGAGGAAGGCCTTCCTTTCACTTCAAAGGCGAAGGCTCGTGCAGACCTGCTTGGCGGAGGTTTTCCAGCCTGTCTTGAACAGGTGGCGCATAACCACGCTCTCCAGATGGGTGGAGGCGATCCCCATCATCCCCTGCCAGCAGGCTCGTTGACCCTTGGCGCCCGCTTCAGAAACCTTAGACTCGTTTAGAGGCTTTACATGCAGAATAGTATGGATTCCTTACTTGGCATTTCCAGTTCATCTTAAATGTTGCAGAGGTCCTTCGTGAGCTATGATTTGTTAGTGCCTGGGTTCACACAACAGAAAGCTAAACAAAACGAGGGTGGCATCTTGCGACATTTGAACCTAGCGGTGTTGACTGTAGATTAGATGGAAGGTCTCAGCCGACCTGTGTTCCTTCTTTCGGTGGATGGGTGGCTATGTGCATTTGTTAAATAAATAATATAATGACAGCTTCCTTTTTCAGCATAGTGGAAATTTGTCTGACCACAACATGAAAGCAGTTGTTTTATTCATCCCTTCCAAAAAAAATATATTCCCACAATCCTTTTTACATTCTTGCCAGTGACAGGCCTATCCTAAATACATTTTACCTCTCTTTGCTGCCTTCTAGTGACCAACCACATTTTTGCAGCTAGGTTCCCGTATCCTTATAGCAATATGTGTGCATTGGTCTAATACAGTGGTTCTCAACCTGTGGGTCGGGACCCCATTTGGGGTCGAACAACCATTTCACGGGGGTCGCCAAACAAGGCTGTCCGCCATTTTTTCCCCCTTTTCTTTGGCCACGCCCCTGGCACCCGGTGATGTATAAGTGGTTGGGGGGTCACCACAACATGGGGAACTGTATTATGGGCTCGCGGCATTAGAAAGGTTGAGAACCACTGGTCTAATATTATGAGAGGGAGATTTTCCACCCACCCACCCCATATCCACCTCCACATTTAATGAAGCTGTGAAGAGTTTCCCAGAATACTGGTGTGAGACTTGAAAGTATATTGGGAGAACATAGTCCCTGGAAAGCAGGATAAAAATACAGTTAAATAAATAAACAGCTGTTCCTGTGGATTAAATGTGCTGTAAGCACTGTGAGTGATTAACTGTGTGCTCTAAGGATAAACCCCATATTTAGTGCACCATAGGGTGGGACCGTCACAAACTTTGGACCTGACTTTTGGCATGCTGACGGAAAAAGGGTGGCTGTGATTCCCAGTAACCTTTCCCCCTCCAAATACGATCAAATCATCCATTTTATTTGCATCTCCTGTTAAGCTTGATTGGATTTCTGCTTTACCTTTTAAGCCTCTCCCCTCTAGAAAGAACCTGAAGGAAGATAATTTTGCCCATTAATCACTTTGCTCATTTCCTCAAGGACTGGGCTCTCTTTGGATCACTTGGGTCTTTTCCCCTCTCTACGCTTGGGTGACAGAACGCTTCCTGGACTGCCCTGTGTGGGGTTTAATGATTACCTGACCTACTTTAGATGGTTATTGTAAGGTTTTCCGAAATAATGCCTTGGAAGGGCTTTGTGGCAGTGGTCATCAAGCTGCCGCTTTAAGCATCCCTCGTTTTACGGCTTTTCCCATCCCTGTCGTTTTGGGGGATACCCCTTTTCTCCCCAGTCTTGCTAGGACGCTTCCTCTTTGGCTGCTCTTCCCATGCTGTGCCTGTCATAATGGGTGGTAAAATTGTTCTCTCCTCAATTCTTTGGCTTCTTTGCTGCAGTGTGGATGAAGTTTCGAGCAGAGTGGGCAGGGGAGGGGGAGGTTTGACAGGGAAGGGGGGGAGGGAAGGAAGAACAGGGTTGAATCATTCTCATTTATGAGGGCGGCTTTGTGGAGGCAACCGACTGAATTTACAACACTATTGAGTCGGAGAGTCCATCTCGCCTCCCCCCCCCATCAATGAGAAGGGGGCTACTTGGGGGTTGATGGGAGGGAAGAAGGGCCAAGACTCTCAATAGACCCTCGGCCTTGCAAAAGAGCCCGCTGCATATTCAATGAGATCTTTTATATCTTTTAATTACCCTTCTCCACAAAAGAGGCCAAGAAATTCTTCTTCAGCTACCCATCCCATAAGATGGGAGAGTAACTTTTCCTGTTTCCTCCCAAGCCAAAAAAAAAAAAAGCAGAGCTAGAGGGAGGCCAAGCATGCTTCCAGGGTGTGTGTGGGTTGGGTCTGGTTCTTAATCAGCTCATGACTCCAAACAGTAGATTTCAAAGCACCCAATTTACATGGTTGGTCGTAGGCTAAGATGAAACATTTAGAACTGATCTTCAGATCCTCACTTTGGCACAAAACTTAACTTGATGACATTGCTGCCTTTCGGCCTAATTTGCTTCAGAAGGGGGAAAAAAAAGTGACAAGGAGAATCATCTAACTGCTTTCTGGCAGGCATTCATCATCATGATAATGCCGGGCCAACCTCATCTGTGACACAGGATTAGTTGAATTGTGGTAACAAGAATAGCTGCTTTTGTGTAGAAGGTGTGAATGCAAAGATTCTTTTCTGTCCCAAGTCTTCAATCCGAAACAATTCCTTTCCAAACTCAAGAAATTGCTCATTTGATACCAAGTTCGCAACTGAGGAGAAAGCAAACATCACATACTTGATTATGAGGCTACAAGGAATGGGACAACCTGTCAAATCAAATCTTTTTCCTAGAGGGTTCTTCCCCCCTCCCATCTTCAGCCAAGAGGATACTGGTTCCTTTCATCCCCATTTCAGATCTTGCATCTGTCTTACAGAGAAGATAAATCTGACTTTTCTGAGAATAAGGGAATGCTGTAGCTTTTCTACGCTGCTCTGCATCTTTCTATACCTCAGATAAAAAACTGCACAAGAGCTTCTGGGCAAGGCAAAGTTGGCTCAGCCTTCCAGGCAAATAGTACAGGCCTGTCAGGTTACATATTTCGCAACTGGAAAATAAGAATTTCTATAATATCTCTAATCCCCACAACTGCAGATGCTCCATGGTCCCTACTTTGAGAAAGAGAGGAAGATAACATATAAGGCCACTGACTATGTCTTCTTGGCTCTTTTTGTAGAGTGGTATAAATAAGGCAGCTGCAGTCATGCATCACGCTTACCAAGTGGACAAAAAAAAAAAAACAGTAGCTGAATATACATGATAAATGTGGTTTATTTTAATCTTGCTTGTATTGTGGCTTAAGATATTGCATGGTTACTGCACCTTTGTTATTTGTCAGAAAATGGATTAATTTAATAACCAGATTAAATCAGTTATAAGAATTTAGCTGTTGCTTAAGACCCCAGTCAGAAACCGCTTTCTAGGGAGAATATTTAAGTTGAAAACCTTTCTAAATGTATATGCTAGAGGGGAAAAAACTGTTTTTCCCTAGTTCCTATTCTGAAATTAGTATTCTATCTAGTAGATCGGGATTACATAAATAGGGATGGCAGATAGGGGGTGCTAGTATTTATCTTTACTGCCATCTAATGGTCATCTGCAATTTTGCAGGCCAGATTTGGTTGGCAGCCTAGAGGATTGTGCTTGGAAGCTGCGCTCTGAAAGGGCCAAAACTGAATTTAATCTTCATTTTAACTGAATTTCAATTAGAGATAGTTAACACAATGATTCTCCAGTAATGAATATATTTTTCCTTTCCCCATATTAACGTTTACTGTTTGTAATGAACTTTTCATGTTGCTGAGGGGCAGCCAAAGTTTTGGGGGACTAACACTTTGAGGAAGGAGAACAGAGAGTTGACTCCTTAAATCTTGGCTAGCTAACTAAGTGCATAAGCTTTGGGCTGAGTTGTCAACTTTGCTAATATCTCAAGACTTAATTTTCATCTCTATTATATATAAGGGAAGCAAGTTTATTTTCTTGAAAATCGATTTTCTGTGATTTGAAAGAAGAATCTGTAGCATGAAAGCACTATCAGTTGTTTGAAGCAGCTCTTGCCAAATTAGGGGGAAAAATATGGCTTACCCATCATTTATTGCATTGTGTGGCAAATTGCTCCCATATAAGCCTATTTAAGAGTAGCCAATTAAATCTGAGGAGTATTTAAGCAAAAAAAAAAAAAAGCTTTTTAGATTTTGCAAGTATACTACAACATACTTTGGGGAAGACTGCTCCCCACCCATTTCTTTCACAGAGGGGAACGCCTGAGATAATCACACCCTAATTTTGTGTTTGCCCATGAAAAAAATGGACCCTTAATAATGTAACTGGAACATTGTAGTCCAATCTAAAACGTTTTCTGCATTCTTGATTTGCTTAGGATGCCTACGATCCTTTTTCCATTGTATAATATCTGTGATGCCCCTAATGAGGGAGAGACAGCATTGATAATCAAATCCTGTTTGTCCAAGTCTGCTGATTTTTTTTTTAACTCTTGCCCACTCTTTTTTCTGGCCATGACACAACAGCATGTTTAGTTCAAGAAAGTTTTATTTGTACAAACATTTTCCAACATTCTTTAAAAACAAAATCTCAAGACAGACATAAACAAGCTTTGGCATAGTACATGGCAAATATTTGATACAAAACTAACTTTTTCTTTTTTTAAAAAAGAAAGTATTTCACATCACATTTTTTTTTTTAAAAAGGGTGAAAAATACAAATTGGCATCCCAACCTTTGGAAATGAATAAATATGAGTTTTTTTTTGGGGGGGGGGGTCGGTGGAGGAATTCAGCCAACAAAATAAACTATAGAGATCCAGGTTCCATACAACGGAACCAATGTTGAAAACAGTCAGGATTTTTTGTTTGTGTGTGGGAAGGGCAGGGCGAGGGGAAGTCACCAAGGTCTCCACACAGTCTCATGACGTTCTCCTCCTGCTTGAGCAACGGGCGCTAAGCTGCCCCCAAAAGATGTGAGCCCTTGCACCGGTGATACCGAAGGAGTTGCTGTGGAACTGTTGCAGGAGACAGGCATGTTTGTGTTGGCATAGAGTGGAACCACTGGTCCGGCGTTCGGCGGGAAGGATGGGCTAGGGATGAGGAAAGCGAACTGACCATCGGTCGCTGGTACCAGCTGGAAGCCCCCGTAGACTTTGGGGGACAAAGTGTCACTGGGGTTAAGTTTGCACGGCCCAGGCATGACGCCAGCTGCAGCTGCTGGGCCTGGCAACTGGATATGCAAGGGTTGTCCCAAATGGGCCGGCGGTCCACCGGTGGCCTGAGGGGGTGGCGGTGGCGGTGGCGGTGGGTAGTTCATGGCCACAATCTGACCCAGGCAATTTGAAAGATGGCCCAAGAGCCGGCTGCGGACTTCTGTGTTCACCCCTTCGCAGGTGGAGAGAAAACGAGTGACCTCATTCATACATTCATTAAATCCAGCTCGGTATTTGCCCAAGACGGTAGGATCAGCACTCAGAGCAGCTGCCAAGAGAGAAAAAAGTGAAGGATTAATGACCAGAACCACCAAAGCTTTTTTTTTTTTTGCCCTTGGAGACAAATTGCTTTCCTTTCTCAGGTCAGAGTGCCTCTTACTAAATCAGTGGTTCTCACCCTTTTTAATGCCGCGACCCCCAACCGGTCGTAAGTCAAGGACTACTCAACCGGTCGTAAGTCGAGGACTACTCAACCGGTCGTAAGTCGAGGACTACTCAACCGGTCGTAAGTCGAGGACTACTCAACCGGTGCAGCACTGTTTGCAGAATAGGACTTTTGGCGGGCTCAGCAGGGCAGAGACAGCCTGGACAATTCCTATTGGCTTTGGAAAGCCAATAGAATTAGACTCTATTCAAGAGAGTCAATTCTATTGGCTTTCAAAAGCCAATAGAATAAAAGGGAGTAGCACAGCTAAGGAAAAGGGGGGGAAAAATGGCGGACTGTGTTGTTTGGCAACCCCCGTGAAATGGTCGTTCGACCCCAAATGGGGTCCCGACCCACAGGTTGAGAACCACTGTACTAAATGTAGCCTTAGATCTGGGGGTAGATGATCTTGGCTTGAAGACCTGGTCAGCTGGGGATTTTTCTGGATGGCCTAGGACCAACCCCCTCCTCCCTCCCCCCCCCGCCCTTGGATCAGGACCATGGCTTCAGATCCTGCTAAACCACAAAACCTTTTGGCGTGTGTCAAGTTTCTACCCTGCCTTGCTGAGATACTAAGATGATTGTTGCAAGTATATGCTTGAAGCAAAAGCAGAGCATATAAACTCGGGGGGAGGGGGAACAGCAGCCCCTCAGACAGCTAGATTTTCCATGTTATATAAGCCTTATTTTCTTTCTTGAGAAGAAACGGTATTTTTTCCCCCGAGGAGGCAAACACCTCCTTACTCTTAAGTTGGCAGGAAGTTTGCTGCTCACCTGTCATCTGGGCTCTTTGGAGATTTCTCAGGTGTTTCACTGTCATTTCCAAGATATCTGCTTTCTCTAGCTTGGAATGCCTGGAGCTCTGGAGGAAATGAAAAAAAAAAAGGGGGGGGGGGGAGGTGAGCTGCCCTGAACCACATTGATTCAAGGTACCCCTAAAACTGTAGGGATCCGAGGCTCCTCCTCTCGCCCCCCCCCACTTCAAGGGTTGCTGAGGCAATCTGTGTCCCCTCCCCCACCAACTTACATCTTTCTTCAGCGCATCCAGGATGAGTGTCTTGAGCTGGCCCAGGCTTTCATTAATCCGGGCCCTCCGCCGCTTCTCCATGATTGGTTTAGAGGACTGTTTTGGGAAGAAGGGAAAGGAGAGAGAAAGGTTAGCAACCCAAAGAGGCATCATGGGGAGGAGCGTGTTGGGAGGGGCGCTCCCCACACCTTGCAACGGAGACCCTGCAGCTGGGAAAACTCCCTTGATTCAGGGCGGTTAGCAAACTCGTGGATCTTCTTAGCGTTGCAAGGTGTCTCCCCCCCCCCTCGGTCCAAAGCATTGCAAGGGGACAACGTGGGAGGGAAATCACGAAGCTGCTGTGGGCTTTCCAATTTCCAACTCCACAAATCTTTACCCTTGCTTGCACCCTTTCTTCCTTCCCACCCCGATCTTCTTCACCTACTCCTTCCCTATCAGCGCATCCTCCCTCTCTTTTTTTGCCGGCTCTGTCTTGCAGCCGAAAAGCTGGGCACAAAAAACGCTCAGATCTTTGGAACCGCGGGTGCGTGCGTGTGTGTGTGTGTGCGTGTGTCAATCAGTCAATCGAGAGGAGGGAAGCTAACGAAGTATATCTATCTATCCGTGCCTGCGCTTAAGGAGTTCCATCCTTCGGGCAAGCAGGACTTGCAAGTGGAATCGATTTTAATTTCCTCGAACGAGGCGAAAAAAACCCCCAAAATTTACCTTTCTGTGTTCGCTGGCGCTCTTGGGCTTATCCGGGGTTTGGCTGGAGCTGGCCGGGGCTCCGGCAATCGGCGAGGCTGTGGGTTTTTCCATCGTGTCTGCGGGCATTTTGGTAATCTCGTTCTTTCACCCAGACCAGGGGCCGGGGGGGGGGGGAAAGAGAGCTGGGGGGGGGGGGCGAAAGGCGGCGAGGAAAAGGCGGATCACTTGGCGCGGGACTCCACTGTATATCCGACGGGCGCCTGCTTTCTCCGGATTAAGAGGGCGAGAGCTGGGCCTCTTTCCACAAGAGAAGGGAGGGGAGGAGGGGAGGGCTGCCTTTGCAAAAAGAAAAAAAAGCGATCGCGCCCCGGCAAGTGGCAGAGCGTCTCTCGGCCGGCTCCGGCTTCCGCGCCTCCCGTTGCTTTGGCTGCGGCGCGCCGCTCCCCCCTGGGTTTATATAGCCGACGGCAGCTCCCAATTCGTGTGAAACCTTCTCCACATTCTTTCCCACACTCCCGTCCGCCAATGGGAAGCGGGACTCTCCCCGTCGGGATCGCCGATTGGACGACGCCCCCGCGGGCTGTCAGTCACGCGCCAAGAGTTGTCCCCTCGCGTCCTCCCCCCCCCTGTCCAATTTATTGCTTTGCTATTTCCCTCCCCCCCCTTCTTCTTCTTCTTGAACTTAGATACCTGGGTGCCTCCGTGCACGTCTGTAGGTATGGATCGCTAAGCTCGGGTTGAACCCGGGCATTCTAAGCAGGCGGATCTCTCCCCGCGCCCCCCCCCCTCCACTCCACTCGTCCCCAGACCCGCCGCCCCAACCCCGGAGCCTGCATCGCGTGGGTCGAGCACTCCGTGCCCCAGTTAAGGAAAACCCCGCGCCACCCGTGCTGGAATGCGCGAATCCTGATTGCGCCTTCAAAATGGGGAAGGCTGGGGGCGGCGGCTGGGGGGGGGGGTTGGAGAGAAAGAGGCTCTCCCAAAATTGGGGGAAATTGGAGAAGACCCCGATTTTAGGGTATGTACAGCGGTGGCTTTCCTGTACTGGATTCTGTTCCAATTATTATTATTTTTTAGGGGGGGGCAGGTTGATTGTATTTTTGGGGGTCTCTTTTGCCCACGCGAATGAACTCCTACCTAGGCTTCTATAATTGGGCAGGTGTCCGGTTTTCAACCATTAAAAGGCGTTGGCAGGGTCAGCATAAACGTCCCTTGAGGATTCAGCCGGCTAAGCAGCATCTTTCTGCTTGCCACCTGAGCCCACCCGAGGGGGGACTTCCCGCCGCTCAGCATTAGCGCCCGTGGGAAAACCGGCGTGTTTACTCCCAAGTAACACACTCCCTCCATTGAATCGCTCGGCCTAGGGCAAGTGGGAGACCCCCGGAGGCTCTATAGAACTGTAGGACCGTCTCTTCTCCCCTTCAGCTTTCTGACCCCAACCATTATTTAGATTTATAGACACCGGGGATACTGTGCAAAAATCGGAGAGTCGGTTGACACTTCCGGCTCTGCTGCAAGCCCCTTACTCGGCTGCAACCCCCCGGAATTGGCTTCCCAAAGCAAATAAATCTCGGCGCCCCCTCTCCCGCGCTGCACATCTGTTTGCAACGCCGTCCCGGTTTAGCCAGAAGTAAAGCGCACGGAGGACCCCACAGAATCCTGCTTCTATGGGGTCGGTTGGGTGGGTGGGGGGGCTTAACAAACCGAACCGCCTTTGGGGCTGCGCGAAGGAGAGATGCTCCGAGACGGAGACTGTCCCGCACTTCCCTCCAGCTGTTGTAAAAGCGCACCCGCAGGGGAAAGAAGAAAGAAAGAAAGAAAGAAAAGGAGGGATGGGAAAAATGAAAAGAAACAGCAAAGACCAGCAGCAGCGGCAGCAGCTGCCCGGCACGCGAAGCCCTGCCAGACTGACAGCCAATCGGGGCACGGCTGCAAGCCAACCTGCTTCCCATTGGCTGTCAGCTTTCGCAGCTGTCAATCAAGAAGACTTCTCTCTCTCTCTCTCTTTCTCTCTCTCTCTCTCTCTCTCCCCTCCCACCCCCAGAGGCTAAAACAGCCGCCAAATGTTGTCGTGCCTCCACCCTGCGAGACGGGCCGGGGCGCGCGCGCTCGTGGGCGCGGGTGCAAGCTCGGCTTTCCCAGCCCTCCCTCCCTGCCTCCCTCCCGGCTCGCGAGAGCACGTGCCAAAAGCGCTTCTGGCTTCCTGCGCCGCGCACCGCACGCACACAGGCACACAGGCACACAGGCACACTCAGCCCCGAAGTGGGGCGGAAGCGCTGGGGTGGCACGGCTCCAGCCGCGAAAGCTCCTGGCGGTTTTGCAAGCCAGACAGGGAAAAAAGCGCAGGCAGGCCTGGGAAAACTCCGCCCCTGCGCCTTATTATTTATGATTTATTATCGTCCAACTTTCAGTGCAGAACGAAGATTAAGTTTCCAAAAGCGAGGCAGGGTTTGCAGAGGGCCGGCGGATGAAGGGGGGGGGGAAAGGGTGGTGGTGGGGGAAATCTTAAGGATTGCGTTTATGCAAGGCAATAAATTTGGGTGAGGGTTCACTTTAGGTAGAGATTTTGTGGCTGTAGTAGACTATGCATGTTGTTCCCGACCTCACAGTTTTGATTTCTTTATGGTTCAATGCGCAGCGAGGACTTAGAAAATAATTTAGTAATCCAGGTTAACTTGATTAGAGGTTAGAGGCGACTCTGGAAATGCTCTGGTTAATTGCATTAACTAGAACTAGCAGCAAACAGGCCCTGATGCCCTGTGTTCTTTTTACTGTGTAAGGCCTTTCCGTATCCTGCACCTCTTGTTTACTCAGTAGATTTCACCCGATGATCATTGTAAGCCTAGTAATTGCATTTGCCCAACCTCTTAAAAGTTGATTATGTTGGGAAGCTTTCTGTTGGTTTAGTATGTCAGGAGAACTAAGGCAATCCAGTTGCTTTGTGGGTCGGTGTCTCAATATGAACCCAGAAAATAAAACTCAATTTAGGGCAAACATTCTGTACTGTGACAGCCACCGGTGGGCAAAATTGTGAAGGTTTCCTGCCTCTTTGCTGCACTCTGATTGTCTTTTAATATGTTATTTTACTCCCTTAACATCTTATACAGGGGGGGACAACTCCTTATGGGTTTTTCTGAATACCTTTTGTCTTCAAAAGGATAGAATCCAGCACAGAAGTATGCAGATTTCAGGCTCATACGAAAAGTGCATTGGTTTTTTTTTTTTTTGCCAAAACCTGAAGATCCACCAATCAGAACCAATTGCAAAATATACTCAGTACAGTATTAAGAATGAGTGCAAGGAATTTCTTTGCAGAACCAGATACATCTGGCATAGCAAAGAAGACATACTACTCCAGTAGGTGCGTCTATACCAATGATGGCGAACCTTTTGGAGACCGAGTGCCCAAACTGCAACCCAAAACCCACTTATGCATTGTCGGGTGCTGGGTGGGCATGGCCCAATGGCTGGGTGTGGCCTATTGGGTGGACGGGGCTGCGGTGGTAACGGCAGACTGGGTGGGACTAAAAAGTTCAATCAATCAATTCCAACTTTGCAAAATCTTTTTTTTTTCCCCCGCGAGAAGTTGAAATTGACTGATTGATTGAACCCTTTTTTTTATATATACACGGCGGCGGAGGCCTAAAGCAAAAAAGTTTTATAAAACCCAGCTGAAGGCCTAGGACTGGGGCAATGGTGTGGGTGCCCATAGAGAGGGCTCTGAGTGCCACCTCTGGCACCCGTGCCATAGGTTCGCCATCACTGGTCTATACTTTGTTGCCTTCAAAACTTACCTGTGAATATTTATGTTTATCTGGGACACCAGTAAGCACAGATCCCATTTAGGTATTGGTTTGACCCCTTCGCTCCAGCTCTGCTCATTCCAGACCTCCCTGATAATCCAACCCAAAGTTTAAGCCACAGGGGGAGAAAAACACGCTTCAAAAATCTTAGCCTTGTATGTGGTTATGTGTTGGAAGAAAGTCTGCAAATTTTCACCCTCTTCCTCCTCTCTCCTTTCCAGTTTCTTCTTTTTGGGGGGGAACAATTATTGCCTGAGAAATGGTTGCTGGGGGTGGGGGTGGGGGTGGGGGAGAATGAAAAAGAGAGAAGGCTAACAGTGCCACCTTTAGGCCAGTTGCAAAATTATAGGATAGGGAAAAATTGCATTTATCTTGGCTTGAGAACAAGACGGCACCCAGTGAACACGCCCAGTCCTGGTGCATTTTCGATCATCAGTAAGTCTCATGCGAGCATACAAAGTGCCCACAAATCAAGTCCACCAAGAGGGGCATATTTATAGAATAAAGCATTTTCACATTCCAAATCTGGCTCCTGGCGTTTGAGAACCCCGTGTTCAATATTTATAGACAGTAAATTCATTACTTCTGAATGAGGTTTAAACGAAAGAGAATCCAGACCAAAGAACTGACTGAGGGGTCAACAATAAAGAAGTGTCACGGAAATGCATGTTGAGGTCTTCACAGAATGTAGTGTATTTATGGCCTCATTTTTTTCCCCCAAAACGAAATTCAAAACAATACAGTGACCAGACCCAAGGCCTAAAAATTCCATCCGTGGAAGAAGATTCCATTTTTCTGCCTCGTGGTCAGAATACTTTCAAATCCTCTTGGAGTTTTCTGAACTTGCTTTAGAGTAGTGAAAGGGTGGGATGTATTGCCAAGTGTGGTTTATTTCCTTCCGTCTCCGTGATATGCTCCCTTACTTGGCCCGAAAGAGCCCTAAAGGAGAAGTGGAAAGTGGAAAAGCACTCTACATACTTGGCAGCCGTGATGGAGAAGAAGATCCATCAATCAGAATAACCGAATAACAGTTGGAAGGGACCTTGGAGGTCTTCTAGTCCAGACAAGTGGCTGTCCAATCTCTTCTTAAAAACCTCCAGTGCTGGAGCACCCACAACTTCTGGAGGCCAGTCGTTCCACTGGTTAATTCTTCTCTCTGCTAGGAGGTTTCCCCTTAGTTCTAGGTTGCTTCTCTCCTTGATTAGTTTCCATCCCTTGTTTTTAATGCTTTGGAGAATACATTGACCCCCTCTTCTTTGTGGCAGCCCCTTAAATGTTGGATAAACAATACATATTTATCCAATATAATAGATTAAAATTGTTAGTTCCATCCTTAACTAACAAAGACTAGGAAGTTATGGCTGGCTAGATGAAACAATTACCTATTCTTCTGGTTCAGGCACTTTCTATCTAAAATGTGCATGCCCCAAGCACTTTTAGCTCAATGATCCAGAATTGTAGAAAATTTTCAAATCCAGGTGTTGAAGCTGGGAATGCAGATGTTCTTTCATTGATATGCATTCCATCCTTGATTCTTCTGGAGTGCCATCTCTCCAGACTCCATGGCTGTTTCCCCCCAATCCCAGAAAACATTTTCTGGTTGATTTCAAGAAGTTTAGGGGATTAGA